CACAATACTCGGGAGAGTGGTAACATGAACAGAGCTGTTCAAATGAGCATTTGAGGTTACATGCTAGACCTGAGCATGTCTGACTGGACCCACAGGCAGCCAAGTTAGCATCCAGTTGCTGGCTGCTACTCTAGTGGAACATTTAAAGCAAGGGGTAGGGAGAGGAACTCATTAGCAGCTGCATTAACTTCCAGCCTGGATTCTGTAAAGAGCTGTTTGGATTCAAGCGACTCCTCTGACAGCAGCTGATGAAACCGGTCCCGCAGTTCAGCGGYGGCATCAGCCAAAATCCTGGTTGTAATCCAAACTGCAGTATTTTCTCCTAATGAATTAATCAGCTGATTGCGTGCATGCGATAGGTCATTAGAGAGGTGAGCGGCAACTTTTGGAAGGGAAGCGCTAGCTCTGTCGGGCCTAGAGGCCGTTCCTTTGCAGGAGCATGCTCCTCTGAGTATTGCAGCACCATATGGGTTGCTCTAATTAACGGGTGTTGTTCCTTAACGCGGTCTTTTGATCTCAGAAAAATGACTGTAAAAATTGTAATACTATAAACCTTCGATAACTTGGAAGAAAACCTCAAACAGCCCAAAGCAATTTCCTTTAATCTAGCTTGTAGTGTCGGTGATATTTTTTAAAAAAATGATTTTAAAAGCTTCCACCCTATTTAATGGTAGCTGCAGAGATAAAGCGAAGCGTAATTTGGAAATTAGTTCCGGATGTTTGAGTTGTAGCTTTATTTTAGTAATCTGGGTCATTAATTTTGTTGAATGGTATGTTTGGATTTTCTTCCTCTGCATGCGTGAAGCATGGCTGCACCCAGGGTATAATGGGACTTCCGGCAGGAATGGGAGCTTTCAAAATCCTCTTGCCCTTCGTGACCCCACCAAAACAAAGCCTGTTTCTCTATGATTATCTGGCACGGAAGGCAGGAGATGAGCCATGGAGAAGAGCGGTGAGGTGGTTTGTGCTCCTGCTGCAGCCTGGGGCCTGGGGCATGGTGGGGAGAGACTGGGGTGCCCCTGCCAGAAAGCCAAGGGCCAAGTTCAGGTCAGGGTAAGGGTCTTCCCGGCCATGAGAGGACCCTTTTAAAATTAATTAAACCAACTCGTCGTTTGTTTAGTAAGAAAAGATGCAGTTTAGCAAAGCTTTTCAAATAATTTAAATAAAAGCGATCTTTTCAATGGAAAACAACTTGCTTCTGCTCAAGCCTTGGACTGCCCTGAAGATTTGGAAAATGGGACACGCTAGGCTCCTCTCGGTGCATGTTGCACATCCAGATTGTCTCTGGAGATGTGTTAGTCACTGGCTGCAAAGCGGTGTCTGGAGCAATGTTGGTGGCCATGACACAGACCGGGGAGAGGAGCCCGTGGGTGTCACCRCCGACTCCCTCAGGCAGAGCACTGGGGATGCTGCTTGTACCCCTGCCAGCGGTGTCCTCAATTGAACCCCAGTGCCTTCTTTCCGCTTTGATGGAATGGGGATGGAGCCGGTCTGGGATAGATGTGCAAAGCTCAGGGTCGGGTCCACAAATCCGCCAAGGAGCCAGACATTTTGCTGAAGCTCTGCTCTTCTCTTGGCTTGGCAACAGGCTGGGTACACTGAGGATAACAATCTCCATTCCAGAGCAAAAGGAATGTTACAACCTCTACAGGGTAAAGGCTGTTTCTCCCCTCTGTGCTTATGCCACACCAAGAGCAAAAGAAAAGCAACCTGATTTTTTCGATCTGAGCTTTAGAAGTATGGTCATTTTAATACTACAAGAGCAGGCAGAAGTATGAAGCTGGCTTCAGCTGATTTTTTCTTGCTTATCCTGAGTTCTGTTTTGCTGTTTATCCTGTTTATCCTCTCCTTGTTATCCTGAACTAGTTCATCTTCTTGTAAAGGCCAACCTACCAGTCTCCAAAAAAAAATCATCAGGAAGAAAACTTGCTGACTGACTCTTTCCCTTTGCCTGTGGCAGTTGAATAAGCCCATCATCTTATATAATATTAATATTCGTAAAAGCAGACCTACAGAGCTCATAAATCTTCCATAAAAGAGGGGCAATATCTACATCTATTTTAAATTGAAGCAGGTAAGTAGGTTCTAGAACGAAGGGGTATTGATACAAAGGAAGTGGAGAGATGAAAGAAATGAAATTGCCATTTTAATCTGAAAATTGTCTCTGCATAAGTGATACCAGAGGCCTCACTACTGCAGGAGCCAATGCTTTGCTCCGGGTGTTCRCTTGAGCCTGAAAAGCTCCAGTTCCCAGCTGCTCCCTGTTATTGCATTCRAGTGGTTTAGGGTGAGAAAAAAAAAAAGTCCAAAATTGAAGAAGAGCTTATTTGCAAAGGGGAGGACTGCATTACCATTTTTCTTAACTTTGTGCTTCTCCGAATGGAAAAATTAAATGTGAAAAAAATCTGTAGCTTCAGATTCCATGAAACATTTTTTTAAAGGCGAAAGGTAGGCTTTTAACCATTACAGATGGGAACCCAGATGAGAAAAAAAATGCAGTTTATTTTTGGCCAAGCAAGTGAGACGCAGCACAAGTCCGCCCGTCCAGTGTGGGGCCCCGAAGGGGCAGCGTTTCATCCGTAAATATCCGAGCTGTGGTTTGTGGGCAATTTGTGTGCTGCTGCCGTATGCTGAGCAACGCGAGGGMTCTTGCTGGCAGCTGTGTTTATCTGGTGGAGAGGAGGGGCAGATGGGTGGGTGGTTTTGGACCTTTCTGCCAGGTAGGCAGTTCTTCCTTTTTGCTCTTTTGTTTCTTTTTTTTTTTCCTTCTGAGTTGTCTGAACCAATGGGGAGCCTTTCATTCTGTATTGCTCAATGGTGGAGCTGGATCAGAATATTCATTGCGGACTTGGCTCCCAGACCGTCATTGCTGGTGGTGATTCCCACAAAAATTGAGCTGGGATCATGTGAGCTCCAGACTGAGGTACATACCCTGGGGCACGGCATGTGTCATGTAGTGCAGTCACACGAGTCTCCAGCTCCTCTCAGAGCTGGCTGTCAGACATTGGGTTAATATGACTTTTTTGACAAAGCAATTTTTTAAGTTTTGAAATATTTGTTGAAGCTGAATCTTCTCATGGGATTAGGTCAATTCATTTAGCACAATGCACTTTTAAGGAAAAGTTTTTATCGTGTGAGCTCAGGAAAGAAATATGTTCATAGAATTTTAGCATGCAGCCGAAATCGGTATTTCATTTAACCATCTTAAGCTGTCAAAAAAGGTGCATTTTTTGTTAAATAAGGTGGAAATAAGAAGGGCATGTGTTGAAGTTACCTCAATGGAAAATGATTTCATATTTTTTTTTTATGGAAGTATGTAAGTTTAGCCTTTGTCATTATTGAGGACCAGGAAATATTTGAGAAGCTGTCATGGGGCACATAGATAATTAGCCAGGCAATTCATACTGTTCTTTTTCATCTCCAAGCCAGCTGACGTTTCCCCCCTGAAATTTTCTGCCTCAGCAAAGGTGTATTGTTAAAGTTTGATGTTACGATTCAGCTTTGTTTACAAGGAGAGAGGAAACCAGCCAGAACCCCTACACTGGAAAAGAGCTGAACGAGAGCAATATCACAGAGTTCTATAGAACTAAGGAGGACCTGAGTAAAGCAGGAGAAACTTGATGGTCTAGATGAAAAAATCACACGCAGGGAAATACGTGCTTGCAAGGTAGATCGGGCAAATGATTTGTGTTATCTGTCCACTCATTCCATATTCTATGTGGAGAGCCCCCAATTTGCTTTGGGATGTCCATTTGTGTTTGTGCTTTCTCAAAAACGGACAGATAAGCTGTTTCCTGAGTACACCGTCACACCGAAATAGAGCAACTGAAAGGAGGGTGGCAAGTGAATTGCTGCTGATAAACTCAGCACAGCAGACCATGCTCCCCCATGGAACAATCTGTCATAAAGCTCTGTAAGCGTGAATCTGTTTCACCGGACTTTCCGGAGAGGGACTGGGGATGTTGTGTCATTTGGGGTGACATCTGCAGCTGACACCAAACTATGAGGCATTCAAAATACAGCAATAGGCAGCTACTGACTTCTGACACTAATCTGGATACCATAAATTTGTGGTATATTGACTGCAGTGGAAATCTGGATCAATATCAGTCTTCAAGTGGCTCAAAGGATCAATGTTTTACACAGATAGAGCAAATAGAGGGCAGGTGTTTATGGCAATCCCTGCATGAGGTATTATTAGTCCTCGCTCATCCTTCTGTTGTGGAAAGAGAGGGAGACAGAAGGAAGGTAAGAAAGGATTTAGAAAGATAATTTGCAAAGCATTTAGAAAGGCAGTTGTAAGAGGGAGATTTATAGCATTTTTTTCCTATCAATTTTAGCCTGAAGAGAGAATGAGAAAAACCTTCATAAAAATATATTGTCTTTTGAGAGACAAATTCCTATCAAATGGTGGGTTTGAGTTTAATGAGACGCCTGTGGCAAGGGGATCACTGGCACGTGGCTCTACTTGCCTAGGCTTTGGGAAAGAAGGCTGTCCAGCGATTCTGCAGTTCCCTGCTACTTTCTGGTGGTACGGAGACTCACATCTGGCTCTAAATTCTTCAGGGCAACTGTCAGAGAGATGATTAAACCAGCGAGTGTGGAAATGCTGGAGATGGGGACTCAGTTTTGTGTCAATGATGAGGTCATTTGCCTCAGGTCTTGGATGACTGTTTGTCTCAGAGAAGGCTCGGAGACTTCATGGTCGAGTGTATTTCCAAAAATAAACAGCCACAATATCCTGGTGATGTGAAGGACAAAGTAAAAAAAAAAAAAAAAAAAAAAATCCCCCTAGATTNAAAAAAAAAAAAAAAAAAAAAAAAAATCCCCCTAGATTCATTAAATTTGTAAAAAACCCTTGAGATCATCGAGTCCAACTGTGAAGCTGATGCCCTCGAGCTACCGGTGCACTGTAGGGAGAGGACCTTCAGGGCGTCTTTTCCCGTGTCTGTTATTTCCCTCCTTTCCTCCTCACATTTCCCCTTCACCTTGTTTCACAGGACTGGCTGACAAAATTTGGGTACCTGCCTCCTCCGGATCCTGTGACGGGGCAGCTGCAGACGCAAGAAGAGCTCACCAAGGCCATCACCGCCATGCAGAGGTTCGGGGGGCTTGAGGCCACGGGAGTCCTAGGTCAGTGTCTCGTGACCCCTCCTCTACTTGRTGCAGAGGGAGGCAGGGATGGCTCCTTGCAGATCAGTCGGGCAGAAGGCACTCAGTACTGTGTTCTGGAGCAGCATCAAGAAAAGCTCCAGGAAAAGCTCATGTGGGTGGAGCACACAGCCCAGTTTGAAACTGTAAGAGTAATTACACGGCTCAGGTGCTCTGTTGCCTTGTGTTTTCAAGAACCTGAGGCAAGAAATTATTTCAACAGACCCACAGACCCTTGGGGTTCCCAGTGTGCTTAAAACAAGTCTTGGTGTGTTCCAAAGAAGAAACAAAAAAACCCAACAAAAGTGAGTAAAAAAGACCAGGGAAAAAAGGGAGAAAGATGTCCAGTTTAAAGTCTTACCTGCAGCATCAAACTGAATAGAACAAAAATCCTGATGAAGGCTCCTAATTTCTATGCGTAGATAGTTTGGGTTCTTTGCAGCTGGGGCACAGACAGGCAAGGCAGAAGGATGATGTTGCATCGCCCCAACTCTGTTTGCTCCTGCCCACAGAGCGTAGAGCCGGGAGGCTCTTTGTGGTTCTCCTGGGATCTCACTAGGTGCTCCCTAGTCACGCCCAGCCAGCCGGGAGCCCATCACCTGCTCCGGCAGCTCTGTTGGCCAGCAGGGACAGCAAACGGCATCTATGCGGTGGGCACATCTGCCAGTGGGGGAGCAGTGCAAGGGCACTGAAGCAGCACGAGTTCCCCAACATGGCCGGATCATTCCTCTCAAAGCCTTCATTGAGGGAAGGAGAAAGCCGGCATTATCGCGGCCTGTGGAAGGGCATCTCTCCGCTCCGCTCCCCTCCGTGACCCTCCCGCCGCAGGGCCAGCGTGCTTCCGCTGCTTAGGACACAATTAAGGAGAAACCAGCTAATTAGCAGGCAGATCTCCACCCATCCCAACACCCCAGCATCCGTCCGCCGGTCCCTGGGAGCAGCGGCCGCGTCTCGACCCCGGGACTTCCTTTATCTCGTCTTAATGTAGCACATGCAATTGTTTCTCGTCCAGTGAATCTCAAGCTGCAGGAGAGTCGGGAAGGGGGATGGCCTTTCAAACTGTATTTTTGGACAGGGTGTTGGAAATGGGCTGAGGGGGAGGGATGGCTGCCCTGGGGAGGTCATAGATGTGGTTTGTTCATGAAAAGAGAGTTTAAGAGGCAAAGTCAGCAGGGAAATGAACGAATGAAACTTTTCTGTGTTTCAGCTGGTGAGAACACACACTTCAAGCTTTCATTCATTACAAAAAATAAGTAAAAAGGAATATGGCCATTCTTCAAATGACTTCCTAGCTGAACGGAGGCTGAGTTTATTTACATGTGAATGTTTCTCCCTGCCTCTGGATTTCCTAGAGGAATACTGGGAAATTCATCAAGAGAAAGCAAAACAGAATATTTTTAAAAATATGTTTTAAAATATTGTGAAAGCCGGCCCTAGGCRGGCTTCCAGCAGGATTTGCTGCCCAGTGGTGGGAGCAACAGTGGGTTGTAGGGGGCTCAGTATTCCACGGATGTCACCACGACCCATGCTGGGGCTCGTCCCGTGCCCCAATGGGCTCCTGGGTATGGACCTCTGCTCTTCTGGTTCATTCTTAGTGCTTCACTTCCCATCTCTTTATGTCCCTTAACCCACCATTTCCATTATTTCTTGTTTCTCTACCSCTAGATGAAGCTACCCTGGAGCTGATGAAGACCCCTCGCTGCTCTCTGCCCGACCTAGCCACTGCAGAGACCAGGAGGAAACGATTTGCCCAGGCTGTCACCAAGTGGAGCAAAAGAAACTTGTCCTGGAGGTAGGAATTCATCTATCAGTTGGCAAGCAAACTGATCCCTGTCCTACCAAAACTTACGCTTTTTGGGACTGATTTTTCCTCCCTCAAATACCCTGTGCTGCAGTGGTTGTTCCTCTGAGAATAGTGTGCAGCATGAAGTGCTTGAACTGTCCTGAAAACACACACGGATCTTAYGGAAAGTTCTCCCTATTAATAATAAGTTTCTCTTTGGTCCTGGCACACCCCCTAGAGCGATAACAAATCTCAGCTTGGCTGTTACTGTTGACACGTGTTGAAACTATGGCCTTAGCAGAGATTTGGTCTATGTTCCAGCAGATCCCTTTGWGACTTTATTTTCAGAAAACATAAACATAATTCAGCTCCGTTAAGAAACAATTTTGATTCGTGGRTGGCTTCATGTTGTAAAGCCATCCGTGTAATAAAAACTCAGCCCGTCTCCCTGTTGCCCAGCCCTGATTTGATGAGGAAAAAAGAAAGAACTTCACATTTCAGAAAGGAGAAAAACCTTTGGGTAAAAAGAAGAAAACTTGCCCTGAAGTTCTGGGAGCTGCCAGAGCCAGTGCGGGGCCAAGGCTCGTGCACAGCCTGACCCAGCAGCTCCCGACCAACCCGAGCGACATCGCACGGCAGGGCGGGTGTGGTGGCCGGGCAGCACAGTCTTTGGACTGGCGCTGCAGGTACCGCCGGGACTTCGGACATGCAGCACGGATGTGCTGACATGGATGCTTAGTAGCATCCCATTACAGGATCAGAAATGGATGGTTTTCTGTGCCTCATCTCCATGTAAAGTTTCTAGGATATTACAGTATATAAACCCTCTTTTCATGCGATTGTTATTGTTATTACTTTATTTTCCCTGTGCTCTCCACAGGTGCAAAGGCAACTGCTGAGAGAACGGCATGCTGTGAATGCCCTCTGCTGGCATCGATGCCGGAGCTGCCCGCGGCCACTCGCGCCTCACGTTTACAGCCCGGTTTTTCACGTGCTGATTTAGCATTATTGCTTCTGGTTACACCCCGCAGGAGGGGAGTTCACAGCCGGCACCTCCATTTCTTCCTAACGCTCGCCGTCTCTCCCGCAGTCCCGGGGAACTGCAGCGGCAAGGCCGTGCCCTGCCTCCGCATCCTTTGAGCTCCCTGGGGCGGGGGGAACCGTGGAAGCTCAGCTTTTTAAATTTCCGGGTGTTTTTCTTTCAGTGCAGAACTGAGCTGGCTTTCATCTGTCTGTGGTCAAGGTCTACTCCCTCGTGCCACCTCATCAGAGCTGCGGTCTTTGACGCCGTGATGCTAGGACYGTGGGGTGCCGGAGAGGGAGCAGACCCAGCTGGCAGAGGAACAGTGGTGCCTGTCAGCCAGTGCCCGACCTTGCCGTCGGTGTCCTGAGCTCCTCTGAGGGGAGACGTGCCACTGCCAGAGCCCAGATGTGCATTTACTCGGGCACGGAGGGGTGGCCGTCAAGGGGAAGGACGTACACCCCCGGTTCTGTGCTCCCATCCCCGCAACGGTCGTGATCCTCCTGCTTTTCTCCTTTAATCGGTGGCATCTTSCTGCGGGGACCTTCCATCCCAAGCCCGGACTGCCTCATCCCCTATGTCTGGGGTTGACAGATACCCAAGGGAGACAGACTGTCACCTGTCAGTGTTGAGCTGCCATAGGGTTGATGCAGTACCCCTGTCACAGGGAGCTGGGACCCTTGGAGGAACTGAACGATGCTGTCACAGCTGTATTATGCAGGAAGCAAAAAGCTCTGAAGGTCTCACAGAGAATCTGATTCACCAGGCACCTGCGGAGCCAGTTCTGGTGGTTTTTTTTTTTCACACTACTGACCCATCCTCTTTTTTGCTCCCTTTATTTCAGAGTTCGCACCTTCCCGAAGGAGTCCCACCTGGGCCATGACACTGTCCGAGCCCTGATGTACTACGCCCTGAAGGTCTGGAGTGACATCACCCCGCTGAATTTCCACGAAGTGGCAGGAAACAATGCCGATATCCAGATAGACTTCTCCAAGGCGGATCACGATGACGGCTATCCGTTTGACGGGCCCGGTGGCACGGTGGCGCACGCTTTCTTCCCTGGAGACCATCGCACGGCAGGGGACACACATTTTGACGATGACGAGTATTGGACCTTCCGATCATCGGGTAAGTCAGGGCGGGAGAGCTGCAGCCAAACACAAGGGCTCACAATTTCCCTTTCCTTCTCTGGTAGCTGTAGCGGCTTAGCCTCTGACACACCTTCACCCCAGGCTTCAGGATCCCATCTTCTTCTTCCGATTCCTCTCTCAGCCTTGTTTTCAAAATCAACCCAGGYGGTATTGAGGACACTATGTTCCTGGAAGCCTCAGTGATATCTCCATGTTTCTCCTTATCCTGCCAACAGTTGCAGAGCTCCCCATCGCCCAACCCCTGTTACCACCTCTTCTSCGAGGCTGCAGGCTGGGTATGTGGCTGCTGGAGCCCTTGGATGGGGTCTGCATTCTCTGACTTTGGGTGGCTTCACTGTCATACATCCCAGTTTCCTATTTTTAAAGTATACTATTAGCTGACCAACCTGTAATGGGGTCTGTGTTTTGCTGGGAAAAAGGCCTAGTTTTTTCTTGCCATCTCCTGTCTCTTACCTGACATCAGGATGGTTATGAGTTGCAGCTCTGTTCTTTTTTATCCTCATCTAATCTGGCTAAAGCAGAGTTTTAATAAGCAGAGGGACTGTCAGAAGCAAGAGCTTCTCAGCTGCAAAACCATCGGCGGGGACCAGGTCCCCAGCCTTTGTGTCGGGTGTGTTTTGACAGAGTGTCTTCTCYGCAGCCACCAGCTGCTAATTGCCTTGTCATGCTACCTCCTCCACCGACCTCCCAGCGGGATCCTGCTGCCTCAGCCTGATGACTTTGTTTAAATCTAATTGTCTTCTCTGAAACAAGGTAAAAACCTCCTCCCCGCCCAGCTGCTGACCTCCACGCATCCCCCCGAGTGCTCGCAGGCAGCATGATTCACCAGGGGTGCCTGAGGAGGTCTCGAGGCGGAGGTTAAAGGTCTGGACAGGCCAATMCCTCAGGATTACGACCTGCTCCTTTGTTTCATGCTGCTGCGCACCCCCAGCTGGCTGCTCTTATCGGGAAGGGAAAAAAAAAGCAGCAGTTTTGATCTGCAGACCTACAGGGCGGARGCAAGTGCTGTGATTAATAGCTCGCCACAGGGATGTGTTAGCGATGGAGTCAGTTTCGCAGCTGGTGGACTGGGATGCTTATTGTGAAACAAACTTGAGTGAAGGAGCGGGCTCRGGGATGGTGTTCCGTCGGGAGCGTCCCTCCGAGCACTACCGAGGGATGAGGGGATGAGCCTGACAGTGAAAAGCTGCCCTCTATTTTGAAGATCTTGGTGCTGCCTGAGCTTCATCTTTTATTTATTTTGTTTTCCCTACTGACTCAAGAACAACAGCTTGGTAGGTGATATAAAAATATGCCCCAGGTTGTCAGTCTGGCATTAAAATGTCAGAGAGCATGTGTCTTGTTCTTTCCTAGTGCCAGGAAAAACAGCACAGGTTATAAAAAATTTGGCTSATTACAGACAGTGTAAATAATAGCCATGAAGAAAAGGCAAAATTCAGCAAAAAATATCTCCCTGCTCTGACCCCCCCAAGCCTCGTGAGAACACTACGGAGTGTGTGGGATCAGCCGTGGCCACTTTCGTGCACCATCTCCTTCGTGTCCGACCATTCTCAGGGCATGTGACGCTCCCCTGAGCTCCACAGGGACCTTTTCCACCTCACTGTCTCTTTATTACAATACTTGGCATCATGATCTTTATAAGAACCACACTTAAAATCATTGCTGCCCTCCAGTACTGCTCTGGAGGATATTGTCGTGCAGAGAGGGGCAGAAATGGTACCGACACGTGGCCCAGCTCGTCTGGAGCTCGGCGGTCGGAATGCACCGAGCAAGGTCAGTCCCATTCAGCTCCCGGGAGCAGCACCTCCTTTGCTTTGGTAGCAGCGGCGTATGTTTGGAAGTGAGCATTAACCCCTTACGTGAGTGTCTCAAGCTCCAGAGAGGATAGGATTGGACTGTATTGGTCTGTACGTGGGTGTGGTGTGAGGCACTGGGGACTGGATTGCGAAGAAGGAAATTTTGGGGAAGGGCATAAAGTAGAGATAGCCCAGACTGAGGGAAAAAAGTCATTGACAGAGGTATTGATGTTCAGCAATGTCTCCCTCCTTAATGGCCAGAATTGTATGTGGGGATCAAAGTGTTTGCCCAAGGGAGCGGACATCAGAGCCGCAGACTTGCCAGCACAAGGTGCGTAACAGGAGAAGATGGGTAAATCCTCTAAAAGCAAGCTGGACACGGTCACCTACCCGTGCCAGGGCAGCAGCGAGACGGGTCGGTGGCCGACGAGCAGATGAATATTCCCGCGTTTGTGTGCATATGGGAAGGCCGAGGGACGGATTCGGCTGGGGCGGCAGTGTGCAAGGCCAGGCGGGGAAAGCCTCGCGGAACCCCTCGGGCAAACGGGCACCGCTGGCGCTCCCCTGTTCCTCGGCACGTGGCTTGGCTCACAGTCACGGAATGCGATGAGCTCCCGGCTGGTGGCTGCAGAAAATCTGGTATTGGCAACGCAAAGGCTGCGTCAGCAGCTGTGGCGGGCGTGAGATGCAGGGAGYGACGGCTCTGGCCCGGCTACCGCATTGCCCGTCAGCAGATGGCTGTGATRTGGTTGCTGTCTCAGCCCTTTGTCTAGCTTTTTCTCATGTGGAAACGGTCATCTGGACATAAGAGGGATGACACTTGGGCTGGTGTAGGCTGAAGTCTGGCTCTCTTTCCATTTTCATGTGATACGCTCCAGCCTCTGACTGGAAAAAAGTATCTTTTTTCAAAGTTTACCTGTTCCAGAACTCTTCTTTCCCGTTTATCCAACACTGTCTCTTACAGCCCTTACAGCCTACCCAAAKCCCCCAGTTCCTGTCAGCACTGTTATTTCAATTTTGTCTTTATCTCCAGATGCTCACGGGTTGGACCTATTTGCCGTAGCAGTCCATGAGTTTGGCCACGCCATTGGCTTGACCCACATCTCTGCTATAGAGTCTATCATGAGACCCTACTACCAAGGTCCAGTGGGGGATCCTCTGAAGTAYGACCTGCCTTACGAGGACAAAGTCCGGATCTGGCAACTCTATGGTAAGTTTGTGTCAATCGCGTGGCTATAACCCGTTCCTGCCATGGCAGGACATAGAGCAATAGCTGTTTTCTGGGGTGAGCGGAGCCGGTGGGGAGGACAGTGTTCCCCATTACTTCTTCTTTTTGACGCAGGAGTCAGGGAATCTGTGTCCCCCACGGCCAAGGCCGAAGTAAGCCAAACAGATGACCATCCAATCCTACCGGAGCTGCCAGAGAACCGTTCCACCATCCCGTAAGTCAAATTCCTTCCTCTCCTGCAAAGGATGAGTAGTCATGAAGCTCTGCTTCATCAGTATCTTGCCTGCTCACTCTGTCTTTGCTATTTCTCTCTGTACCCGTAATATTTTTCCAAGACTCAAATTTTTCATTCATATCAGTGGAAATTTGTCACCAACAGCCTTAGTTAAATTCATGCTTGCCGCAATTTTAATCACAATTCCTCGGCGGTATGAAATGAAATGTGCAAGCATAACTTACCTAAATCATTCCACGGTGAGCAACTCCCTAATGTACCTGAGGAGGTGAATATTCGACCCGATAGACCGACTGCAATGCAGGTTAGCATTGGCAAAGGGCTGCTTACCCTGAGTGTCATCAAGCAACCAGCAGGGCCTCATTAAGGGAAGTGCTGGATGTGGCTCATGAGTACATGCTGACATGTAGGACAGCAGGACAGTTAAGAGAAGTAGGGACGCTGAATRAAAGGACACTGAATAAAAGGGAGGTGATGGTCACACACATTTGTGCCAGACACCGGAGTGAGAGCGGCAGAGACGGAGCAGATCGCCTTCACCTCACGCTCCTTTTGTTTGAACATGCTGAATGCCATTGGTTGCATTTCTCCCTCTATAGCTTCTAATGGCATTTGTCCAGCAGGCTTCTTGTGGCCTTGTTTGGACCTAGAAATACGAGAGTCTTTCTCCTGCTGTTGCGGGAGGCCCACTGTCTCACACCGGCAGCAGGAACGGTGGGAAACTTTTTTGTGCCGACCCCTCGTTCCTGCCTTGTATGCTGGGAAGGTGGATGGGCTTTGCCTCCATATATGCTATTTTGTGGCCACAAAAGGTTGTGAAGCTGGTGCTGGCAGCCCAGCACAATTTTTCTATCARCCAAATAGATTTATGTTTCCCTGTCAACCACAGCGGCTTTTCTGTGCATCTTCCCAGCATCCTCTCTTTGTTCCTCCATCAGTCGTCATTTCTTATGTGGGCTTTGGGGCTTGGTCCTTTGTGCTCTGTGCCTACCTCACCCACCTCGTTAAAGCGGTTCAGTACCTCCCAGGTGGCTTTGACCGGGTATTTTTCTCCGAGTATCCCATGGCTCCTCCGAGTCCCTCTGTTTAGGCTCAGCTGCTTTCTGCTTTGCGGCTCTGTCACATCCCACCAGCACTTTGGAGCTCAGCCCCGGAGCAGTAGCATCCCGAGCTGTCGGAGCGAGAGGCCGCTAGGCCGTTTTCCACACGTCACGCTGCCACGGGGCAGCCGGCCGAGCCGCACYGTGCCGCTGGGAGCGGAAAGCCTGTTCGGCCCTCACCGGCTACACGAGCTGGTGGATGTAGAGCGTGTCCTCGCTCGAGTCCGTACAACGGCGTCTAGTGGCCCAGGGGTGTCAGCCCGAGCTGTCTTCAGGCTGAGGGCTGCCTGAGCTCGCCTTGGAAATCCCCTCGCCCGTGGCTGCTCTCGAGCRGGAGAAGCGATGGGTGGGCACAGCCTGTAGTCATGTCCGGGAGCAGGGGTGATTCAGTCCGTGGGATAGGAGGCACTGGGGGTCACAGCCCCTCACTGCTTGCCTAGGCCCCACTTACCTGGGCATCTCTCCGCAGGCTCAGGCGGGACGTACCCGACAGATGCAACACGCATTTCGATGCAGCGGCCCAGATCCGCGGAGAGGCTTTCTTCTTCAAAGGTGAGCGCCGGGGTTCCGTGCCYGCGTCAGCCCGCGGCGGCTTCGGTGTGATGGCAGCAGAGGCAGCGTCGTGTGGGACTGACTGGGGTGGGCGGTGAGGATGAGCTGGCTGGGGATTGCGAGCTGCTCCCGCAGACCCAGGGAGGCATCTCTTTGTCTAGTGCCTTGCTTATTACAGATGCAGAGATCATCTTTATTTCATTACATATGTTTCAATTGATGTCAAATGGCCACCAAATCTGAAACCTCAGGTTTTTTTACATTCTTAAAAAGATTCTGTAATTATGGCCATGTCTTCCATGTGGAATGTATTATGTATTGATATTTCAGTGAAATAGAGCAAATATGCAAATTGGAGCAGAAAAACAAGAATATAATATTAATCTTATAATTAAAATAAAACTGGCTGTCTGCAGATGTTAAAAAGTGTTAGAGTTTTGCCTCCTGCATTATCAGGCCAAGATCTAATTTCCATAAAATTTTAAAACTTGGTGTCACTATCTGGCAGCTCTCGAGAAAGAGCTGGGTGCGCGGGGAATACAAATCTGAGGACGCATCTTTGGTTTCCGTCGCTTACCTGTCCTCGGAAATCCACGCAAGACCGGACTCAAATAATGTGCAATAATTTCTAACAGGGAATAAGTAATGTAAGACAAAGTTGAGAGCTGCCTTTTAAACATCTTGCTCTGGTTCATGTCACTCTGTGAGCTCTCTGGAGAAAACGTGGCAYGAAATGTACTGCAAAAACGCAGGCTGAGAATCCCAGAGCCAGTGCAGAGCTGTGTTTGGAGTTGCTTCTGAAAACCATTAAGACTCCTCAGGAAATCCCACGTTAGGCTGCTTTAGCAGGAAAAGGTTTGTCATCCCTCCGCGAARGACAAATCTGTTTTCTTTTCCATTATCCAAAATATTTGAGAAATCTCCAAAACTCTTTACTAGCTGGGTCAATGCTGCTGCAGGTGTCTGCTAGCCCCTCCAGTACTAGAAGCTGCTGGAAGCTCTGCAGGACTGCGGTCTCCCCTTAGTATCCTGCACCTCTAGATGATATCAAAGCCCTTAATTGTGCCTCCTTCCACACCTCAACCCCTCCAGATTTATTCAGATGGTTCCCTTCTCCTCTATTTTCCTATTCCCTTTCTTCATTACAAAAGATCCCATGTGATATTTCTGTTTCATTGTAACGTCCCAGACATTTCCAAACGTGAAAGCCACTGGACATCCTGTGTTCAGGAAGCCGTGGCTGGTCCCAGGAAGGAGGATCGGGGATGTTTTTTTGGACGCCCTCGCTTAAGGCTGTTGTCCCCAGTCCCACCGGCTCGCAYGAGGTCCCGTGCGGAGAGGGAGGAGATGAAAGGCTCAGTCCCACGCTGCGGCGGGGAGTATAACGACGCCAGCGCAATGTCCGGAAGATTATTTTAATGTAAAAAAAAAGGGAATTTATTCTAATGACTGGCAGAAATAGACAGCGGTCTCAGCTGCTGCTGGAAAGCAGGGTGGCTCTAATTCATGGCTCGTGTCTCACGCACTTCGCTTCCTGCTGCCACCCACCCGGCACTCACCCCCTGGCGAAGGTGGGTCGAGCGTGGTTCAGTAATGTCCAGTCTGTCCCTCCAGGCAAGTACTTCTGGAGACTGACTCGCAATAAGCACTTGGTCTCCCTCCAGCCGGCTCAGATCCACCGTTTCTGGCGGGGCTTACCTCTCAACCTGGACAATCTCGACGCAGTTTACGAGAGAACCAGCGACCACAAGATCGTCTTCTTCAAAGGTGAGCGCAAACATGGCGCCGGAGGTGTAGAGCCCGGTGCCAGGCAGGAGACACCGCTGCGAGATGCTAAGCATCTCGAGGGCAGGTCTGAGGCCCGTTACTAATGCGCGAGACCGGGAGAAACGAACTGGCAGGAAGGGCAAGCAAAAGATAGCGGTTACGTTCTTCAGAAAATGAGGGAAATGTCATTGAACGTAAAGTTCAGCCAAATGTAACTAAAATTGGAGCTTTTCAAGAATGAAACACAAGTAGGAACCACCCCTACACACGCTCACGTGTGTTGTGTTCCTTCTTTGACCTCCTCTCTTTCTAGTATTTCTTCGTGAGAAAAGAAGTCGTCAGAGAGGGGATAAAAGCTATGCAGAAGACCTTGGGTTTTCATAATTACATTTCTGTTAATTTTTTTTTTTTTTTTTTTTTTTAAAATAAGTGGTATAAACCTCTCTTCTTATTAAAAAAAAAAAAAAACTGCCAATTTTTTTTCAGAAGAGGTGGAGGAACACTTTAGCTCTTGGTTTCTGTACAACTGTCGGAGTCCTCCACAGACCATCCACCCACGCTGGTTAGATGCCTCCCATGCACTCAATGTCACCCAAGATCTAAGCAGGCACCGACTCTCGTTTCACCGAGGTTGTGCACTTGAAGCACTAAATGCATCCCAGCCCTCCATTTTTCCTGTGTGGAAATTGCATTTTGTCTCCTGACCATTGCTTTTGAAATGGAGGGTAATCATCGGTCGCAGTAGTACTGAACCGAGCAGTTCCGGAAGCGATAATTTGGTTTCAGTTCCCCCAGACAGGGCAGAGAGGCGGTTTACGTCCCACACAAACCCCTAAGCTTGCAGAAGCCTTTCCAAGTATAGCCGGAGCCCTCTCGGATCGCTGGCACGCTGAGCCCTGCGCAGCCACACCGAGCCCCCAATCTCCCCAGAGAACAGCATATGGAAGGCTCTGCCACGCGCGTCCGGCTGCCTCAGACAGCCTGCCCTCCTCTGTTTTCCCAGAGGCAACGGGGCCAGCTGGAGCCTACCAGCCCTTCCGCCGGGCACCGGACCCTCTCGGTCAGGTTTGCGGACCGCAGCCGTCCTCATTTGCTGCCTTCCCTCCCTCCTCCCACTGCTGGGGATGAACAGACAACCAGGAGCTCAGGTCCAGAGACTCCTCCCAGCTCCTCAGGAGGCTGGAATTCCAGATGTGACACAGCTGGCATCTTGCTCCTTCCGAGCAGAACACTCTGTGGTCATGCACTGTCCATGTGTCTTAGTCCTGCTTAGCTCCCAGCATAAACTTAGTATTTTCTGTCCAGCTATAAAAGACATGTAATTTTCTCCTTCACCACTGTTTCATCGATCCCCGTACAGAACCCAAAGCACACAAATTACCTTGGCCTCTAGGGTCCCGCCGCCGATACGTGGGCACGTGTTTAAGGGCGTCTTCAGATATTCCAGGAAACCAAGGGAGGAAGATGTCTGTTCCTTACAATAGGCTATGCAATACATAAAACGACACTGCAGGTTTCCAATGTGGTGTTGTAGARGAAGAAATACTGTCCCAGTGGTTAGTGAATTATTGAGAAATTGAGACATCTGGGTTCATTTTCTTGCTCTCACACAGACCAGGGTCCAGTCCCGTCATGCTTCATTTTTATTGGGGAAAACCCTCATATTGACTATTCTCTCCTGCCCGGGGTCAGACCGAGGGGGTGGCTGCATAAGACCCTTGAAGAGCAGCGAGCCGCTCATATGGGCTTTATGCGGTCGGTCCCCGTGCATTCTCCTATCCCTAATAATGCGCAGGTCTCTCAGTTCATCTGGTTCTAGAAAGAGGTGCTTTCTCCTCCAAAGTGGACTCCATTTGGCTTCTCAGGGGCCGAATGCCAGGCAGAAAGCACCCAGTTTGCCCAGGAAAGCTGCCTGTAACTTTGTTTCTTTGGATGTCAGGCAGAAATCCAAAGGGCAGAAAATCAAAAGCCTCCATCAAATACATAGGAGTGGCAACTGTACTGACACTGTCAGTGTGTTTGTGTCCCGGGACAGTCACGCTTTCAGCAGCAAAGCAGGGCTACGTCCGTGGACGGCCTGACATGAAAAAGCAACTATTTGAAGCTAGAGGTTCCCCTGTGGGCTGACCCCTTCCTATTTTGATCCTTAAATACCCAGAGCTTAGCCCTGAGTCTTTGTCACCACAGTACATTAAATATTAGCTCATCTGTGAAGAAATACTGGTTTAGGTTGTGAAGCAAATACAATTTTGTTTTGTGCTCATTTCCTTTCCACAGGAGACAGATACTGGGTCTTCAAAGACAACAATGTGGAAGAAGGGTACCCACGGCCCATCTCGGACTTTGGCCTGCCCCCGGGAGGAATCGATGCCGCTTTCTCCTGGGCTCACAATGACAAGACTTATTTCTTTAAGGACAATCTCTACTGGCGCTACAACGACCACGAGCGGAGGATGGATCCCGGGTATCCTTCGGAGACCATCCCGTGGAAGGGAATACACAGCCCTTTAGATGATGCCATGAGATGGTCAGATGGTGAGTCCCTATGCTAATTTCAAAAAGCACAATGAAGAAAATCACCGCTCTGTTGAGCTGCAGCCCCTTCTACCCTGCCTGCTGACACAAATGCCGACCCCCCGATGGGATGTAAATTCCTCATGTCTGGAAGCCAAAGAGGGAGGTGTGATTCCAACCAGAGCTGCCCACACCGTTCGCTAGAAGAATTTGTAATTTTAAACAGACAACAGAAATATTGTGGAGGGATGATCATTTCACTTCATTAAAAATACACAGTTGATGCTCTTTTGTATATCCTAGTATGGCCCGATTTGCTCCCCGTTGGTTTCGTTGTCATTGGATTTTTAGCTGGATATATGTGGAAGCAGACAGAAAATAGTTTTAAAGATGTTTTCCCAGAGCTACGACTTATTTTCTGAGGATGAAATTTCTGGCGGTTTCTTCCCTGTGAAAAGACCGCAAAAATTTTGTTGCAGGGGATGTTTACAACCAGCTATGCATTCACAACTAAGTGGCACTTCCAGGGTTTATTTACTGGTGACCTAAGGGTGTAATAGCAATCATTAAATCAGGCCACTTTTCGAGGTGAATTTCCAAAGCTATCGAGAGTGACATTCCCGTAGGCGGGAGTCCTCCTGACCACGGGACCTGCTCAGACAATTCGCAACCCCCTAGTTCAGAGCAGAAAACACGCACCTGAGACCAGAAGGTTCCTGGGGCCCTGCCGGGCTCGGGTTGTCTTTCTGAGCCCAGGATCAGGAGCACACACCCCAGATCATTAACGGATAGGTGGGGTCTCCATTCTTCCCGTGCCCTATTACAAGAAGGAGAGTTGTGCACAGTGTGTCCGGCTGTGAGTCCACAGAGCCTTGACCCTACTCACCCACAGTACCAGGAGGTGCATCTGCCCCGGGATCTGGCATGGAAGAGGCGGCGCCTCACCATCCGCCTCCAGCTACTGGTGGCTCCTGGCTGACGTGAGAAATCCTGGCCAGGCATGGCAATACCCTCTGGAGGAAGCATCCCWCCTGCAGTGAGAGGCGATAGCGACGACATGACAAGGAGCAGTGATATCTCACTTGCCTTCACTCCTCGTGGCTAAGCTGGGGTGGGAATGCTCCCCCGCTGCTCTGGCTGCTGCTACGCCCTCCCCCTGGGACAGCACCTATTGCCGCTCACCTCGTCTTTGCGTTTTGGTCTCTTTGCAGGTGCAAGTTACTTCTTCAGGGGCAAGGAGTATTGGAAAGTGCTGGATGGCGAGCCGGAGGCGCAGCCCGGGTACCCGCAGTCCATCGCCAGGGACTGGCTGGCGTGTGGCGACATGCAGGCCGATGCCCCCGAGGCGGCCGGGAGCAGCAGGACCGGGGCACGCTCCAGGCCCGGGCAGCACGATGAAAGCCGCTCCAAGAAYGGCTACGAGGTCTGCTCCTGCACCTCGGGTGTCCTATCTCTGCAACCTCACCCTGTATCTGGACTGACAGCCGGCCTCATTCCGGCTGTGTGGAYGGCAGCACTGCTGTACGCGGCCCTATAACGGCTCACCTCACCGGCGGTACGACACCATGGTGCTCCAGGATACAATTCCGCGATGCTAACTGCTGTGGGCAGAAAAAAGAACATTCCTAGGAACGTGCCAGTGAAGCGTTAGAATTCTCTATGAGAAATGAACAGYGGTTTTGGGGTTTTCTTTCTTTTTAATTTTAGTTTAAAGGTCTAACAACAGATCTGACTTCTGCATTTTCKTATTCCTCCATCCAGTTAAAGATGAGAGCGGCCTCATGTTAAATTTAGAAACGCTCCTTAGAGACGTGTTGCTCTGGATGTTTAACCACAGCAAACAAGGGAGGGGCTAGCTCCTGGGATAGACTGGGGACAGAAAAGATGCTGCTGWCATAGATGGTGACAGAAAGGCAGCAGGCAGGAAGTAGTTATGTACACATCCCATTGGATGCAGTAGATACAAGAAACTGTGACTCCATTAAGATTAACTGCACGGTGATCATTATTTTACTCCACTAAGATTAACTGCAAGGTGATCATTATTTTACTGTCAGACCTGCTGTGGACACTGGTGTGTGGTTTACTTGTATCAGTTTCTATGGGTCAGAAACACCTCTGCCTTTCAGAAGGTACCGCGCCTATCTTTGTATGAGTCATTGGAATTTAACAATTTCTCTAATAAACCTTGGCTGCCTACTCAGAGATCTCTCGGTCCCGTGCCAGACCGAGCCCGCCACCTGCGGCTAGGCTCAGCCCACCGAGGCTCCTGGCGGCCTCGCCTCGGGACGACCGTCGCCCCGGTTTAATCCGCGCACACAAACTACCGCTCTCGGAATTCTCRTGTCGGGTTTGCTTACGCTTCGGGAGGGATCGAGATGTATCGCATTTGTTTGTGACTCTGCCATACGTACCTGGCTGTGCTGCGCAGGATGGGCTGGAGCAGAGAGGATGCTGCACGGTGAGCTCAAACTCCTTTTGGTGCCTCTGCCGGGAGTCTGGAGTGGCAGAAGCAAGGTCAAGCACTGCATTCGGATGTTCCCGTTTGGGTCTTTTTCTCCCTGYTTATCAGTTTTCTGTGGTACAATTTGGGCACCYGAGAGTCCTTGAAAACGCCGAGTGAGAACTCGGATCGGATGTCAGAGGCCAGGGTCCTCCGGTCCGCCGTTCACGCCGGGCGTTACACGGGCGGCAGCCGCCGGGACGCACTCTTCTCCGCTCTGCTTCTGCAAAGCGCCYGCGGGAATGTCCCTGGCTGCCCAGCCAGAGCCACCTCCTCGGGGGGACCCGGCGGCAGATGGCGTCAGCACGGGACCCGAGGCCGCCGCCGCGGCCCCGGTGCCGGGTGTAACGCAAAGCCCTCCGTGGCAYGGCAAGAACGCCAGAAAGAGTGCACGGTTGCCTCCTGACAGAAAAGAGGGGTCACCTTGAGTTTCCCTCTCCAGTAGCTGTATTTTTAAATGGTCCTAAGCATTCACRGGGTGCAGCTGTTTCCAGGATGTTGTGCTACATCCTGAAAACATGTGCTACATGTGTCATTGTATGGGTCATGAGTCGACTAACCTTCTCATTAAACAATTAAATAGGCTTTAAAAACATACAAGCTGAAAAATCTCAGGTATAGCAGCTCCCTCTGCCGAGTAAAGCCGCCTCTGGTGTTCAGAGCAGCTCCCCATCCCACCTCTGTCAGCCAGGCTGAGCAGAGGCTGCCAGAGCTGTGGGAGATGAGACTTTTCTTCAACCGATTCCCATTGCTTTTCTTCCTCTTCTGTCACCGAGACACAGCTTATAGTCCTTTAGTCTAAACACCGGCACATCACAGATTTCTCTCGGAGCTGCAGCCAGGCGGGAGGAGCACAACGTACACGGGAAGACGTCCTTTCTTTTTTTAGTGCTTTTGTTTGTTTGTGGGKTTTTTTCATGTTGTTGGTTTAGTTTTCCTTACTTTGTTTTTCTGCAAAATAACTACGCAGAAGCTGCAAATGAAGAATCAGCAGAGACAGGTATGCAGGTATGCCTTTCGTGGCATCTCCATCCCACCCAAGGAGCCCGGTGTGACAAGGGCTGGTGGCCATGCAGCTGTGCTGATTAGATTACCAACAGCTGCTCAAGTTAAATGAAGTTTATTTAGCACGGGGGCATCTGGTTTCTAAATAAAGCCTGTGGAAAGGCTTTTGGTGTACCCTTCTCTCTTTTGAATTACTCATTTTGATGATCAGAATGGAGAAGGAATGGGGTACTGCTGCTGCTGCTGGACAACCCTCAGGAAGGATGGCCGCTATCTCGTGGCACCGGCAAAGCCTCCCTGAAGTTGCCCTTAGCATTGGATGCAGCAGGAGGCGGCTCAGTCTTCCCTGGGGTGGAAGGTGCCCCACTTCCTAATGCTGAAAAGCATCTAAGTGACATAAATAGAGACTCTGCTGGGCTCCTGGACACCGTTCCGTGCTTGGGTCTTCGGTGCCACAGAGAGCTCGTCGGTCAACTCTCCACCACAGCGACATCCTTAGATGGAAAAGCCCCCTCCAAAAGAAATGACTTGAGTCATTGCTCCTCTGGGCAACCAGTGCCAGGGCCTTCCCACCCTCTCAGAGAAACATAGCGAAATCTAATCCCGCTGTCATTCAGTTAAAAGCAATCTCTTTCCCAATGCTTAATAGATAGGATTTCTTCATAAGGATAGAAAAAAACAGAAGAAGGTTTTCCAGGTACCGGCAAGACCGAAGAGTAGCAACGTAGCAACCACCTTAATGGCAAACCATTAACAAATGCAGAGAGGCAGCCTCCAATCTTTAGATCTATTTTATTATTTCTGACCTTGTACAAAAGGACAGTATGTTTTAAACCCTGAAGCCGTGAAAACATTTTAAAGGCTAGCGCAAAAATGTCACCCCATTTCACATATTTTCGATTGCTTCCCCCCCCCCCCGCACCCCGTCCTTTTTTCATCGAAAGCAGAGTTTAAATTTAAACCCTCCTCTGCGGCGACTGAAACGACGTAGCGTCGTACAGGTGACGATGCCCGTCAGCCACACACGACTGAGATCTTAATGAAAACCCACAGAACTCGCAGACCGCTACAAACTATTATCGGACGGAAGAGCAGCCACATTTTCCCCGCTAAGGCTCGGCCAAACGCAGCGAAGGCGAATCCCTCCGGAACGGCCGGAGATGGGCTTTGCGGCTTTCCGTACTCCCCTTCCCGGCAGCCCCCCCGAGCCCCGGGGCGGACGCTTCCGGTTCCGGCCTCTCCCGAGCCCGCGGTGGCGGCGGGCTGTGGGCACGGCCGAGCCCCGGCGCTGCCGCCGCCGCCGCGTTCCCGTCGCAGCCGAGATGCTCGGCAGCGCCCGCTCCGTCTCGCCCGGCCCTCGAGCCTGTTCGAGCCATCCCGGGGTCCCGGCCCCGCGGCACCGCCCCGCTCTCCGCCCGCCCGCACCGGGGGTAGGGGGGGAGGATGCGGCGGGACTGCCCCGCGGGTCCGACACAGCTCGACGGGGGCCGGGACAGGGGTCGGGCAGAAGCCGGATGCACCCGTGCATGGAACATCGTACCGAGAAAATGCCGAGGCAAAAGCTCTCGTGCCAAGGGACAGCACCTGAGAAAGCAGGGCAGCGTGCGGGGTYCCAGGGGGAAATTGCCTCTTTCATCTCATTAGTCCCTCCCCAGGGCSCCCACTCCCTGCACAATGCCCTCAGAAAACAGAAGGTTTATTAAGAGAGAAGGAGTTTTAACTGAGAGTAAAAACTTCCATTACCATTATTGTCTGTCCAGATTGAGGGGGAACAGCTTTWCCCTGTGATTGTAATGATGGCAGTKGAAGGCAASCCTGCCTTTTCCATGCATGAGGGGTATAAAGCAGATTTGGGGGTGAGAGCGGCTGTGGGCACTGGTGTCTGGGTAACCTGTATCAGTTTCTATGGGTCAGAAACACCTCTGCATTTCAGAAGGTACTGCAGCTTAT